GTTTTGTAACCGAAATTATCCAAAGCTTTTGAAATTTTATTTAAAATTGGGTATAATCGGATAATTTTGGATAGTTCAGGTATATTCGGTTTAGTTCGGTTCCTAATTGTTTTTAAAAATGAATTTTGGTCCTTTTTGTATAAATTGGTTAAAAAACGAAAGAAATCGGTGACCCGATAACCGAACCAAACTAACCAAAGTCATGACCAATTTCAAAAGCCTACCCGAACGGTTAGGGTGAAATAACCAAACCCTAACCGAAAAACGAAATTTTTTATTCGTGTGGTTAGTTAATTCGGATAAAAATCTCACCACTAATTTGAACTTTGAACCAAAAAAAAAGGAGAAAATTTGCCAAAAATACAACAAAAAAATTATAATTTAAAAACTAATAAAAAATCCTAAATCCAATGGTCTAAAAATTGCCACATACTCCATTTTTCCTAACTTTTTAATTTTTTTTTAGTTATTCACAAAAAAGCCAAAAAAAAGAGACAAGTTGTAACAGAAAATGTGTTTTATTTGGAAAAACACTCAAATGGTAGACGTCAGTGTATGAAAAAAAAAATGTATGAGACATCCGACAAAATTTGAACGAGACGTCAATATAAAAATAATATTTTCCTCTTTCTTTGTTGAGCGAATATTTACTTTTAAGTGTTTTTTCTTGCAACAATTTTTTTTCTGTTTTTGTCAATACAATGGTTTTAAACTGTACAAAAAAAAAGTTTGAAACCTAGAACTCATTGAAGGAAAATTAATTAAAAACACTAAAAAAAAAGAAATTTATAAGAAAAAGGAGGATAAAACGTTAAGAAGTAAAGACACTAACTACGAGAAATTCTAATCTTGGGCATATTTAGTTGACAAATTTTTCATTAGCTTTCTCAAACTTGATTTTATCCCACGATCATCCAAGAACTACTGCTAATACTTTGTTCACGCAAAGACACTTAACTATTCAAATAGCGTCTATATTTAAGAAAAATCACAGTTCACGTTTGTAAGTTTTAAGCAATCATTTTCCCCATCATTCCAATTTTCGAATGGACATAATTAGTCTATCTCAACAAGCTGCAATATATTAGATAAGTAAGAAAGAAGCAAAAAAACAGAGAATAATATCGAGTTGTCACATTATAAGTTTAAACTTGACGAACATAACAAAACCAAATGACGAAGAATCAGAGTTGTACCAATGATAAAGCAAAACAAAAAATCACGAACAAGGAAGCAAATCAGTCTGTTTTTTTTTTTTTTGTGTTGAATGAATTACTCCAATTTCAGTTTAAAGATGGTAAAAAGGAAGAAAAACTTGGGATTTGGAGGGATAAGAATCTCACTTTGCCATCATAACTTTGACGAACTCATCATAATTGATCTGCCCATCACCGTCGACGTCAGCCTCTCGGATCATCTCATCAACTTCTTCATCCGTCAGCTTCTCCCCAAGATTTGTCATCACGTGACGGAGCTCAGCCGCGGAGATGAAACCATTCTGGTCCTTGTCAAAAACCCTGAAGGCTTCTTTAAGCTCCTCCTCTGAATCAGTGTCTTTCATCTTGCGCGCCATTAGGTTCAGGAACTCTGGGAAATCTATTGTCCCGTTACCGTCTGCATCCACTTCGTTGATCATGTCCTGCAGCTCGGCTTCTGTCGGGTTCTGCCCAAGTGATCTCATCACTGTCCCCAGCTCCTTTGTGGTGATGCAGCCTGCAACCAAACCAAAATTTGGAGACAACTTCAGGAAGAAGAAGAAGACGAACCAAATATCTAAACACAAGTAGTATATGTCAAGATCCCAAATGAACGCATAAGGAAGGAAATGCACAACTCAAAAATGCTCTTTGCAGTCCTCTAGTCACAATATAAACGAAAATTCTTTTTTTCAGATTTGGGCACAAACATGTACAGATCAATCTGCCTGTTGTTGCCATTCAAAGATTTAAGTATCGTCGTCTATAATCCTTGTGATGCACACAAATCGGCATGATTTTATCACAGGACTGGGTCCAGAATCAGAGAAAGCGAGAAATTATCACACAGAAACAAACAAGACTAACGATCTTCGTAGTTTCGATGTACGATTGAATAACAAGAATGCGGAAGATGAAGAGCCAAAAAGCAAATAGATAAATACGGTCGAGAATTGAGCGAATCAAAACTAGATTGTCCTTGAATCACATGAAACGAACACAAAATGAGCAGATGGAAAAACAAATGCTAAGAAGAATCGCGATCTCTACCAACAAATCCAAAACAAAAAAAGAGGTGATCTGAGAGAGAGAAGAAGAGACCATCTCCGTCCTTGTCGAATAGGCTGAAAGCTTCCTTGAACTCGGAGATCTGGTCATCGGTAAGCTGATCCGCCATTTTCCGCTGCGATTTGTTGATTCCCGAGTGAATGCTGTTTATAAATGAAATGAGGTAGGATCTTTATCTGAATTGACCATAAATTTCTCGCAAACCTTGTTTCTTTCCTCCTCGTTTTCAACGTTTAATCTTTGTGAGAAATTTGTTTCTAGTTTCGCAACTTATTTTCACTAATTTAGAGCATGTACATCCGTCACAACCCAAATACGGAGGGTTCTTAACAAGTTTATAATATTAAAATAATACTAAATATAGTTTAGAACTCTATAATTCTTTTTTTTTTAAATTGCTCCTCCATTGATTACAACCCCAAAGGGGTTCTTAAAAATAAAAACATATTATTTTATGTTTCTTAAATATGATTCACAAAAATTTCCAATCATTTCTTGCAAGTAAACTAATGATTACCAATGACATATAATGTAAAGAGAAGAATTAGTGATACATATGTTTTAACAAGCATGAATGTGACTTACTGCAACATCAAGCCCTGGTGTTCTGGTTTGTTAGCACTTCCACCATAGAAACTTATTGAGATCTCTTCCTGATGCAATGTCCCTAAGCACAGTAAAACCACGGTTGATTTCAACTCTTAGTCCAGAAGCAAGCTGGAGAACAATTTCCTCAGGGATGTTAACTTCAGGGATATGAGGAGGTGTCCTGTAACGAAAATAATCAGCTTCAACAGTCCATTAGATTTCATCAATCACTCACTAAAGATGATAAACTTACTTGTGAATGAAGGTAGTAGCCTATGACCCTTCACATTCTATACCATTAGCCGAATGAGAACAGTCGCTATAGCTATGAAGATATCAATCCCAAACCTCTAACAAAGAACATGAAAAGCATCTCATAATGTAGAAGATTGAGAAACAATCATTCAACTTGTCAAAGTCATTCCAAAACCTCTAACAAAGAAAGTGAAAACGCATATGGCATTCTAAGAGAGTAGTACCTTGACACAATCCCAAGTTTCAGCAATGGTGAGAGGTCCACAGAACACATAGATGCTTAATTTTCTTTGTCACCTCCAAAACCTCTGCAAAAACAGAAACAAAGAATTAGACAAGTGTGATTAAAGCATAACCATGAAAGAAAGAAGTAGCATATGCTTAATCAAACAAGCACAAAAACTACATTTGAAGAACAAGCAAGCGGAATCTCGACGATTCATTTTGCAAAGAACAGTAAGAGCTTGAGAACTTCTCTGAGATGTACCAATACGATTTGAGCGCCATCGAAAGTGAAATCTGGACGGTGTACAAGTTAACCCTGAAGTACTCATCTCTGACAAAAAAAGACCGGAGCTTTTCCTCACACCAACAACCTCAAATCCCTAAATT